CTTGTTACTTTTTACAGCATGAATCTGTGATTGTGCATCTTACTCTCTAACTTAATCTATGGAGGTTCTCATTCATCCAGATCATGGTTTTCAAAAAAATGCTTTTATTTTAAAGGCTACTGGACTTTCTGGTTTTTGTTTTTTTTTAAAGACATTTCCTTTCTAATCCAAGAACTGAAAAAGCTTCTTCAATGAGAAACAAAATGTCTTAAAGAACAATCAGAAAGTGCTGTTGCCATTAAAACAAAAGCACTTTTGCGAACACCCATCTTTCCCAAACTCATCTGGAAGTATGCTTATACTCCTAAAGATCCCCTTATTGATTTCAGTGGGACTTGTACAAGAACTTTCTCTAAGGATTAAATCTCACCTAATCCTATTCTAAGGGTAATGCAAATTAAAGAGGCTCAATAAAAATTGATTTCTCTTTAATTATTGGATTCAGTTACCATTGTAGATAAGTCCCATGCAGGGAATAATGAAAAGGTTGGCTGAGAAGTAAAGTCCTTTCCTGCCAATCCATTCGGATTTCACGGTAACTTTGGAAGTTTCATGCTTCCACAGCAGCAAGAATAAAGACCCAAGCTCCCTGGTTGTTCTGTCCCTCCTCTGCTTAGCCTGTTTTCATGCTGGCAGTAAAAGCCCCTTCCTCCATTTCTGAGAGGGAACCCAAGGAGAAAAGGAACAGAGAAATTCTCAGCCTTTTAAGGAGTTATTAAATGAATTTCCAGTGACTTTGATTTCTGAACAGACACACAGGGGTGGGTATTATTGTTTAATCTCCATTTCATGTTATGGTGTTTTGTTTTCATGTTATAACTCGACAACAACATGGTGCAACTTCTGTTCTTACAGGTGGAGCCTCTTTGGGAGGTGAATATTTGCTTTTCAGCTTCCTAAAACTTAAGTATTGTGTGAAAAGCCTCCCCACCCCCACCCCTTTGTTTTGTTTGGCCAAATTGTCGTAGAAACTAAGTTAATTAATTAATCCCAAGCCTACCACATAAATTTGTAAGTGGAATGTTTAAAAATTTAATATGAAGTACTTGCAATGCTTAAAAGCCATATTCTCCATTTCATTGATTATATAAAAAATTGAATTTTAATCCAATTTAATTGATTGATTTGGTTTCTGTGGAAGAGGTTTGGATGCAAGTATGTAGATATATAACCTCGGTTCTTCCTGTGTAAAATAGGAAGAATCTTTGTTGGGGTTTTTGTATAGCGTAAGGTTGTATGAGGTTGTGTAGCTTTATTGTATGCAGGTAATCCTCCACTTATGACTAGTCACTTAGCAACCATTTGAAATTACAACCGCCCTCCCCCCAAGAAACATACGACCAGAGTTTGAAGTTCCAATGGTGGCTTCCTAACCCTAACCCATGATGATCTGCTTACCAACTGCTTGCAGGCCCAGTTATGGTCGTAAATTGAGGACTACCTATAAACTTAAAAATATTGGTGGAGAATGTACTTTAGAAAAAACAAGTTTTGGCTCTTTATCTGAATAGGCTGCTAAAATCATTCATACAACGCTGCCTTCTGAATGTAGACAATCAGTTTTTACCCCACTTAATTAGTATGTTCTTACTACACAGTCCTAAGAGAAGGCTGTTCATGGAGTTTGATCTTGGACAAGAGAAAAACTCTATTCAGACACAAAGTTTACTGGTTAGTAAAACACTGGCAAGGTTCAGAGATATGCTGTGTCAAAATGTGATTTGTTTCATTTGATCTAACCATTGTATTTTACACGTGGTTGGGAGCAAATGACAAAAAGTGTGTCACAACCTTGAAATGTCAGAATGCCAACTCCTTCTGTATCCGTGTCATAACATCACAGACAAATCAGTGGCAGAGCCTGCAATGTGATGGCACAATACATATTTGATTATTTTGAGGACACTGTCTGAGTTGCCCTTAATAAAATAAATCATGTCTGGACAACGTTTGCTTATCTGCCTCAGCTTAGTCTAAGACTGTCTCAGTCATAATACTGTTTGGGTGATAAAATTCAGTATCCTCGTATTTCCCAGATGTCAGTAGCAAACAGTTCAAGTGTTTATAGTCTACTGAAGCCCTAAATCACTTCTTCCTGATTTTGAAAAAAATGCTTAAGCCAGCCTGGAAATAGTCCAACTCCATGTGATAAAGACTCTCTTGCCTGAATTCAGGTAGGAAGTTGACACTCCACTGATGCAAAGAGAAGAAGCCGTTATTTTTTTTTTATAAGCAAACCTACCTTGCAATAAAGGTAGGTTTATATGTGCAAATAGTTTTCCACTTAAAACAGCTCATTTGGTGACTGTTCAAAATTACAACGGCACTGAGAAAAGTGACATGAACATTTTTTTTTTGCTGTCACGTGATGGCCATGTAATCAAAATTCAGATGCTTGGCAACTGACTCATATTTATGACGATTGCAGTGTCCCTGGGTCATGTGATCCTCTTTGGGGACCTTCTGACAAACAGAGTCAATGGGAGAACCAGAGTCACTTAACCCATCGGGTTACTAACCAAGCAACCACAGGGATTCATTTAACAACGATGACAAGAAAGGTTGTAAAATGGGTAGAATTCATTTAACACCTGCCTCACTTAGCAGCAGAAATGTCGGGTTCAGGTCGCCAAAATTTGAGTTGTGGTTGTAAGTCGAGGACTTACCTGTATTTCAAATTAATTGGTGGTAGTAGAGAAGATAAGATTCCCTTTAAGGGCTGTGTTTCCTTAAACGGGAACTGATTTCATACTTATTGCTTTTGATTTCATATAGGTGGTCCTTGACTTAACCACCACAATTGAGCCCCAGTGACATACATGATGGTGTTGCTTTTGTCTCGCGCAAAATACCATTTTTGGTTCCCAAGTTAGAATAGGCCAGGAAGTGAACAAAACATACTGGGTTTTTTTAGAGCAGTGAAATTCTGCTCCCCATTTGGCCTTGTTGTAGTTCAAAGGTACCCAAAGGGAATTAGGGCTGATTCCCCAATCATATCAACAGATGACATACGATTGTGGTGTTTCTCTTTCCAAGGGAGTCTTGTGCCGGGAACTAGTGGGAAAGGAAGAGGGGCCAAACGCAAGCAGCAAGAAGGAGGAACTACAGGAACAGCCAAGAAAACTAGGAGGTAAGTCTCGAGAATTTGTCTTGATACAGAAAACATGGGGAAAAGAGAATAATTAATATCATTCTGTGGGCAGATAGTCCTGACTTACAACCATTAAACATCACTGGGGAAAAAAGTGACGTAAGACCATTATTCACACAACCATTGCATCTCCATGGTCATGTGATCAGAATTTGGATGCCTGGCAATTGGTTCATATTTCTGATAGCTGCAGTGTCCTGGGGGCATGTGATCACCCTTTAGGATCTTCTGGCTAGCAAGGTCAATGAGGAAACCACTTAAAACACTGTGTTACTAACACCTGCAGTGATTCATGTAACAATTATGACAAGAAATTATGGCTAATGAGCTTTTGTCCCCCCTCGAATGGTATGGTTGTTGTGTGCTTTTAATTGTGGTATTGTTTTGTTCATCTTTTTTATTCCTTATTTGTACCCCCACCCCTTGACTTGGGTTGTGAGCCGCCCTGAGTCCCCTTTGGGGAAAAGGGTGGCATAGAAATATAATCAATTCAATTCAATTCAATTCAAGAAAGGTTGTAAAATGGGGCAAAACTCACTTAACAACTGTCTCGCTTAACCACAGAAATGTTGGGCTCAATTGTGGCTGCAAGTCAAAGAGTACCTGTATTGTTATTTATTCATTTATTGCCTTTCTGCGCAGTGTTCCTACCAAGAGGGAATCACTTATGTCAGGTTTTTCAAACTTAGCAACTTTCAGATGTGTAGACTTAGCATCTTAAAATTGCCCAGTTCAAAAAACACCGAGTTAGCTCATAGTCTAGAATATCAGTGCAGAAAATCTTGAATCATTTGTACACTATGTTGATGTGGAAAGAACATGACAGTAAAAACATCTGAGGGACTTTCACATGTATATCTGGGCATAAAGACCTTTTATAGCTGCTATCAGAGACTGTTGTTTAAGTTGTCTTTGTGTAGTTTCTATGGGTTGGCAGCAAACTATGGAAAGCAATGATTTGTGAGTCGCAACCAGCCCTTCTGCTTTTATAAAAAGTATTGATACATTCTTCCTCTTGATCTGTACTACTTTGTTGCTGTTGTATCACATTTACATTACTTATATTTTTCTTTAGGTAATTTGTGGCCACTTTCTGGTATGCCTAGATGGGAAATTAAAATTATGATGGTGATCAACACTGATGAAGCAAAAGGATCTGTTCCCCTCTTTCCTTGCTTGGAAGGCTGAGAAAGATTTGCCTTTTACTGGTTCATTTTGTTTCCGCAGTGATCCTTTGTTCTCCGCTCAGCGTCTTCCACCCCATGGCTATCCATTGGAGCACCCTTTTAATAAGGACGGGTATCGTTACATTTTGGCAGAGCCAGATCCCCATGCTCCTGACCCAGAGAAGTTGGAGCTAGACTGCTGGGCAGGAAAGCCTATCCCTGGAGATCTCTACAGAGCCTGCCTCTACGAACGGGTCCTTCTAGCTCTGCATGACCGAGGTACCAAGCTGCTCAATCTCATTGGATGTTTCCCGCATCTGGTGGCCACGGATGGTTAAAAAGCAGGGATTGTGCAAAACTGATTTTTTTTTTGCCTGTGTTTCTTAAGTGTGAGGCTGTTTTGTAAAAAGAAAACCAGCCTTCAAAGTTGTGTGTCACAGATCTTGGCAATGTGATCTTGGGATTTTACGTAAGTCAATCATAGAGCTATCTCAAGGGAGCATAAGAGAAGATGATCTTATTTGTGGAATTATATGGAAGAGTCATGTGGGGGTGGGGGAGGAAAAACAGCAAGGATCATCATAGGAATTTAGGAAGCCTGTCCGTTGGCTTTTTTTTTAATTGCGAAGCAATGCATAATTAAAAAGATCTTTGAGTGATGGTTGTAATTAATGGGCTTGTTTGTACTTTAAAAATCCATAGTTCAATTCCTGGCATTTTTAGGGAAAGACCTTTTAATATCTTCAATATCTTGAAGAGCCACAGAGTTCTAGAGAGCCGTTGCAATGGCACGAAGATTGGTTTGGAAATTTCCTCCAAATCCAGTACATTTCATTTGCATTGCACAAGATAGTTTGCAAAAATACACGTTTCTTCCTTATATCAGAACATTTTCTGACTGACCATATGCTTTCTAAGAATAATTCCTTGGAAAAAATAAATTTTGGAACTGTCAGACTAGCCTGATACATTGTATTTGGAGTCAGGATTTGTCAATAATTGCTAATCAACTTGACAAACTGAACACATCAGTGCGATAAAAATAAGGATTAGAAGTTCACATCGTATGTTGTTGGCTGCCAATCAAAATACACAGATTGTATTAAACAAACTGTACCAGGAAAGTGTGACACAGAAGAGAGGAGAGTAGTGATACTTCAGAGACTTTCTGTTCCTGGGGTTTGTTTCATTTCTTCATGATTAGCACTTACACATATGTTTATCGTTCTTTGCCTTTCTCCCACTCATCCTGCAGCTCCTCAGCTGAAGATCTCAGATGACAGGCTGACAGTCATTGGAGAAAAAGGGTACTCGATGGTCCGAGCTTCCCATGGGGTGCGAAAGGGGGCCTGGTATTTTGAAATATCCGTGGATGAGATGCCACCCGATACAGCTGCCAGACTTGGGTGGTCTCAGCCTTTAGGTAAGCTGCTTCTCCTTCTTTCATTAGTTTGCGACCTGTCACTTTCTTCCATTGAGGACATCGGGGTATGTTGCAGGCATTGGGAAAAGGGGTTTGTCACAGATCTTTTCTCCTTTTCATCTTCCTTATCCATAGAACATAGAATCACAGCACGGTGGCCTAGAAGTGGAGCTCTTGCCTCGCAATCAGGAGGCTGTGAGTTCGATCTCAGGTAGCAGCAGTTATTTCTCTTTCTGAGCACAATGAGTAATTGTCTCCTGCGAACACTGCATAGGTGCCAGGAAGGGCATCTGGCCAGCAAATGCTCGGCTCCGTTCAGTCGCCCCGACTCTATCCCAATGCAAGGGATTACAGGGTCATTAAAAGAAAAGAAAAATCCATAAAACATAGAATCATAGGGCTAAAAAGACCTCAGAAGTCTTCTAGTCCAACGCCCTGCTTAAGGCAGGAGACTTTATACCATCCCAGTCAAATAGTTGTCCGGTCTGTTGTTGAAAACCTCCAGGGATGGAGCACCCACAGCTCTGGGAGGCAATCTATTCCAATGAACACTTGTTCCCACTGTCAGAAAATTTCCCCTCCTTCTAGATTGGATTCTCTCTTCAACAGGCTACTCTTCATTGCTTCTTGTCCTTCCCTCTAGCGCTTTGGGAAACAAACCAGTCCCCTCAAGTACTGGAAGACAGTTGTCATGTTTCCCCTTGTCCTTCTCTTTGATGGGCTAGGCTAAACGATTGGTCCACAAATGGGAGCGGATGGCAAGAAAGGGATAGACAATAGAAAGAAAGCAGAATTGCTTAATTCCTTCTTTGCCTCAGTTTCAGGATATGCCCTTCAATTTCATTTAACATGGCCGGTTTCCTTGGACTAGCAGGTCCTGAGCTTTCCAAACCAGTGCAAATATAACATTTTATGACCTGACTCCTTCCCTAATTGTTTTGCTAAACAAGGCTTGTAATCCATACACGCTTGTTGCCTAGGCAAGGATACACATAGAAGCAGCTGTACCATTCAAGGTACCAGGATCGGCTAGCCAGGAACCAAATTCATCTCCTTCTACTAAAATAACCACCCCCATAACATTTTGAAGCATTCTGTAGACAAATGCAATCAAGTACTTGACAAATGTAACGTTTTGTTTTCTACAGGAAACCTTCAAGCTCCTCTAGGTTACGACAAATTCAGTTACTCCTGGCGTAGCAAGAAAGGGACAAAGTTCCACCAGTCCATCGGTAAACACTATTCATCAGGTTACGGCCAGGGGGACGTGCTTGGGTTTTTTGTCAGCCTTCCCGAAGACACAGAAACAGCTAAATCCCTGCCAGATACCTATAAAGACAAGGTGGGTCTTCTAATTAAGCCTCATTTTAATAGAGCTGGCTGGGCATTTCCATAGGATGCCATAAGAGCTCTGGGGTTTGTCACTGAAATTCTAGAATAAACTTGGAGTCTAATGGGGCAGCATATCTTAGGATCATAAGTGTTATTTATATTTAAAAAACTGGCATAGGTACTTTAAATATGTAAAACTTACTTTGTGCATACATAGACAGCCAAGTATTTGCTTGTTTCTTTAATTCATATCGCACCTTTATTATTTTTATAAATAATTGAAGGTGGTGAACATATCTAAACTCCTTCCTCCTAGTGTCCCCACAACAACTCTGTGAGGTGAGTTGGGCTGTCAGTGACCGGCCTAAAGTGACCCAGCTTGGTTTCATGGATAAGGCCGGTCTTGAACTCACAATCTCCCGTTTTCTAACCTGGTGTCTAGATCAAACTGGTTCTCAAGTAGATGGGTTTCTTCCTGCCTGGTGCAGGAATCAAAACTAAACCATCCCTAACAAATGCCTTCTTGAATACTGAGCTCTCCATTCACCCTGCAACAGAAATAATTGAGGGTGTTCTATACTTTTTATTAAGCTAGGAGGGAGCTTATCTGTCTTGATCAGAATAATGCATTGCAAGCAAATAACAAGCAGAAATGAAAACGGGCTGCTAATTTTCTTGTTTTACTGAAATAGATTTCTATCTTGACTTTTCAGGATGCAGATCTTTGCAATGCATCTTAAAGTTCAGTTCATATTTGCAGTCCTTGATATTTGATAGTTGCCCATGTGCTCACCACAATCCATGAATGTTTCTACTCTTGCTGAAGGTGGCGACTTCTGTTGCAGAATTGTTGAATTAATCACTTGAAGTCACATTTGTGTCAATAACCAGCAGTTGCATTTCTGTCTCATTGTTTTACAAATGAATTTCTGGCTTTGATGTCTTCTCCCACATGTCCTCCTTAGGCTTTGATCAAGTTCAAAAGCTATTTGTACTTTGAAGAGAAGGACTTTGTGGATAAAGCTGAGAAAAGTTTAAAGCAAGCTCTGGGAAGCCAAGTAAGTTGGTCTTTAGAAGCAGACTGGGCTGCTGAAAAGAATTGCACGTCGTAGAATTGGAAGAGGCCTTTTACGTCTAATGCACTGCCTCAGTGCAGAAATTCAAAGCAACCCCACACCCCCACCAAAAATAAAAGAACAAAGGTGCTAGCTAGCCTCTGCTCTGGGTTATTCAGTGAGATCTGGTTTGGAGAAGGCAAATGCTAAAATAGGAGAGAGACCTGGACCTCTTCAGAAATGACTGAGTTGCAAATCTTGAGTTTCAGCCAGTGCAGAGGAATGTGGGAAGGACGGTGATATCAGGAGGGCTGCATATTCCTCTCTCTGCCTTAAATCACAGTATAAATTTATGATAGGCCTTGGTAACTAACTCTGAATCAGAATCAATTGTTTGTTGGAGTCGCCCTATAAGATTTTTGCTTTGTCCCTGTGCTCAGCACGATTGTGAAGAGTTTGTATATTTTCAGTCAGGTATCTTCTACAAGAAGAGTAGAAATTTGTGGTTTCTGTGGACAGCCTGTCAAAAGCTCTTCCCCTCAGAAATATTATTTGAAAATATACTACTCAAAACTTTGCTTGGGTATTTTATATGATATGTAATTCAGTTTTGGAAAGCTGGTGGGTTTTTTTCCCCTCCTAGCCCCCCCTCCCATTTCCCTCCCTTGTGCCTTTTATAAGACTTTAAACGATTCTCTGATTATTGTAAATGAACTTGGGGAGAACTGAGGCTCCTGAATAGTATCCCAACCGCAGAAAGAGCTTCGTCAGCTGCATTTCGAAGATCGCATAAAACTGTACATTGTCCATCTCTAATCTCAGCCAATTCTTAAGAACATTTTCTTAAGAATTCTGTAACACCAAAAATAGTTTTCTATTTTTATAAAATAGGAGAGTCAGATCTTTTGATGTATTTATCTCTTGGATGCTGTACAGAAGCCCTTTCTGCATTTTTAGGAGAATGGAGGGTGCAACCTGAAGGGTCTATGTGCCATGTGCTATTAAGCCACAAATGCAAAAAAGGGCACGTTGCAGGTCAGAGTGAAAATCTCCAAAGATTATAGTTGCACTCTGCTACTTGTGGTGACAAATGTTTGTCTCTTTTAGATAATCTTCTATAAGAATGGTGCCAGTCAAGGAGTTGCATACAGAGATATTTTTGAAGGTGTTTATTTCCCTGCAGTATCTCTGTACAAAGGCTGCACGGTATGTAGAAGCTGAGGGGCTCAGTTCTTTCAGATCTGGTTGCTTTGGGGCTTGATATGATGTGGGAAGGCCTGACCCCTGAAAGCAGGCTCATCCAAGCACAAGGGATCAATGACACATCTGTTGATGAGAGATTGGGCCTGCCCCCACTCTCCCCAGTCACCTCTTCCGAGTAACAGCTCCACAGCATCCATCCTTATCTGCTTGCAAAAGGTTAGTGGACGGGAGGCTCATCTCCTCTGCCTTTAGAAAGTCCCGTGGCTGCTCATCATGGGACTGAAAATGCCACAATAGCTGATTTGAACTAAGCAGGGGAGTCAACGCTGAGTGCATTGGGAGAAATATTTGCCTAAGTCAGCCTTGTATTTATCAACATTGGTCTAGGAGCTGTCTGAGGCTAAGAGAGTTTACAATGGCATATAGACTAATGCAGAGGTCTCCAAGCCTCAGTCCGTGAACCGACACCGGACTGTGGCATGCTGGAAACTGGGCATGGTTCACGGACTGAGGCTTGGAGACCTCTGCATTAGTCTATATGCCATTGTAAACTCTCTTAGCCTCAGCCAGCTCCTAGACCCATGATG